CTCTGTTCTTCCATACTGCCAAGAATCCTGCCATTAACCCTGTCTTCTGCATTTAAAATCAACCTTCCAAAATGAATCATGGTAGAACGCAAGTCCAATGGGGAATTCCTGACCAAGGTATATAGAAAGGCCGCAAATGGATCAAGTCCCAAATTTCAACAGTAACCACCCGACACCGACAAACGGAGTTGCGTGAAAACACTATTCAAACGAGCCACAACACACTGCAGCAACCCAGAACTATGCCAAAATGAAGATGAATACCTCCACCAAGTATTTAGAGACAACGGACAGCCGACCAGTTGGGTCCGACGATGCCTGTCACACAAACAACAACAGGAAGATACTGTACACCTCGGCACACTTGTCACATTACCATATATCAAATATGTATCTGAACTGGCCACAAGCCTCCTACAGCCACTGGGCATCAGAATGGCACACATACCTACATCAACCCTACACCAACTGCTAACAAGAACCAAAGACCCCTTACTATGGTAAGAACCAATGTAATATACAAGATTCCATGCAAGGACTGCGACAAACATTACATTGAACAGACAGGAAGAAAGCTGGCTACGAGAATACATGAACACCACTAGCAACAAAAAGACATGACCAATACTCACTCATCTTCATACATACAGACAAGGAGGACCACCAGTTTGATTTGGACAATGTCAGGATCTGAGGACAAGCCAAGCAGAGGCAGGCATGGGAATTCCTGGAGGCCTGGTTTTCCACCAAGAAGGCCATCAATAAACACACAGAATATACACACCACTGCAAAGAAAAACTGGAAATGAGGGAATAAACTCCAAAGGACTCCTTGCTTTATGTACAGGGTGATACAGAAGGTAAAGTCGCACAGGGTCAGAGGTGAGCTTGCAAGATGGATAAAAAACTGGCTTGGTCATAGACAACAGAGGGTAGCAATGCAAGGGAGCTTTTCTGAATGGAGGGCTGTGACTAGTGGCGTTCTTCAGGGATCAGTGTTTGGACCTTTGCTGTTTGTAATATATATAAATGATTTGGAGGAGAATGTAACTGGTCTGATTAGTAGGTTTGCCGATGACACAAAAGCTGGTGGAATTGCGGATAGTGATGAGGACCGTCAAAGGATACAGCTGGATATAGATCGGTTGGTGACTTGGGCAGAGAGATGGCAGATGGAGTTTAATCTGGAAAAATGTGAGGTAATGCATTTTGGAAGGTCGAATCCAGATGGAAAATACATAGTAAATGGCAGAACCCTTAGGAGTACTGATAGGCAGAGGGATCTGGGTGTACAGGTATACAGGACACGTGGCAACAAGGTGGAAAAGGTAGTCAACAAGACACATGGCAATGCTTGCCTTCATCGGCTGGGGCACTGAGTTTAAAAATTGGCAGGTAAGTTGCAGCTTTATAGAACCTTAATTAGGCCGCATTTGGAATATTATCAATTCTGGTCGCCACACTACCAGAAGAATGTGGTGGCTTTGGAAAGGGTACAGAAAAGATTTACCAGGATGATGCCTGGTATGGAGGGCATTAGCTAGGAGGAGAGATTGGAGAAACTTGGGTTGTTCTCAGGAAGGTTGAGGGGATGGAGGTTGAGGGGTGACCTGATAGAGGTCTACAAGATTATGAAGGGCATGGACAGACTGGACAAGGTGGAAGAGTCTGTTACCAGGGGCTATGGGTTTAAGGTGCAAGGGGCAAGGCTTACAGGTGATGTGTGAGGCAAGTTTTTCTACACAGAGAGCGGTGGGTGCCTGGAATGTGCTGCCGGGGGAGGTGGTGGAAGCAGATACTATAGTGACTTTTAAAGGGCGTCTTGACAAATACGTGAATAGGATGGGAATAGAGGGATACGGTCCCGGGCAGGGGATTTTAGATGTGACTGGCAGCCTGTCTGGTGTAGGCTTGGAGGGCCGAAGGGCCTGTTACTGTAGTATAATTTTCTTGGTTCTTTGCTCTTGTTCTTTTGTCCTTTATAAATTCCAACAGACCCTTTGCTTTAAATAGCAAGCGGGAAAATACAACAACGATTCATCAGAGGCTGCACTGATGATGTTACCCAGCAGGGTAATGAAACATCTGCAAACTAATGAACCAGCTCAGTGAGCGAACCAACCACAGCATCCACAACCCGAGCTACAAATCTGCTCAAGAATATTTGTTTAAGAAAGGCCACAGGGATAATCCAGGAAATTATTAGCGGGTGATCCTTAAGTCAGTGGTCAGAAAACTTATTGGAGAAAATTATTAGGGACAGAATTTACTTGCATTTGAAAAATAATCATAGAAGCCCCACAGTGTGTAAGCAGGCCATTTGGCCCACGGTTCCATGCCAAACCCCTAACTTATCCCTGCAACCCTGTATTTACCATGGCTAATCAATCTAGCCTACATATCCTTGGACACTATGGGCGATTTAGCTTGACAAACTACGTAACCTGCACATCTTTGGACCATGGGAGGAATCCAGAGCACCCACAGGAAATTCATGCAGGCGTGAGGAGAAATGGGCAAACCCCACACAGACAGTTGCCAGAGGGCGGAAGTGAATCTGCCTCCCTAATGCTGTGAGGGAGTAATGTGAGCCATCATGCCACCCTAATGGACTTACCTGCATGACTTTGTGCAGGTGAGGTCTTGTCTCACAAAATTGGATTTCTTGATGAAATGGATGAAGATAATTGCTGAGGCTAGGACAGTGAATACTCTTCTTTTCTCTAACGAAACAAGATAACTCGCTGAAGAGCAAGGATAGTAAGGGAATTCAGAGAAGTGACAAATTAAACCTGAATGTACAAATATGGGTGCGTGCCTTGTGTGAAAGTCACTGTGTTTGATGAATTCTGAAGAGGAGTCAAGTAAGACTCGAAACATTAACTAATTTTCTCTCTTCACAAGATGCTGCCAGATCTGCTGTGTTTCTCCAGCAATGTCATTTTGCTTTTACTAAGTGTGTCTTTTCTTCAGCAACATAAAGGTTCTGCACTATTAAATTATTAGTAATAAGAAGATTCCTTAAAACCTCTCTCTTGGACAAGCTTTTGATCATCTGACCTAACGTCCTATGGGTCTTGGTGTCACACTGTTTATTATGCTTCTGTTAATTGCTTTTCATACAATTCCATAAAGTTAAAGATACAATACCAACGCAAGTTGGTATTGAGTTCAAAAAAGATAGAAACACACTTAAGATAGAAACAGGATACAAAAGTAGTAAACAAATCCAATCAGACAGGTAAAAACCCCTGAGCTCATGAGATTGCACAAGCACACATTAGATGTCATCAGGATAGAGGCAGCAAAACAATTAGATTTTTACAAATTTCATCAGAAGAAGATTAGTGCGAGAGTGTTATGAACCTCACGAAGGGACCCTAAGCCAAAAATAAGGAAATTGACTGAATGACTGCCAAATGAAGAAATTACCAACATAATCTCACTCATTGGATTGATTACGAGTCGAACCAATATAAATTAAATGTTAAACGAAAACAGAAAATGTTGTAAAAACCCAACTTTTTTGGCACATCTGTGGAGAAAGAAATAGGGTTAACATCAAGTCCAATATGACCACTCTCAGACCCAGAAGTTCCAGGACAAGATTAGAAGGCTGATAATGACGCATATGTGGGATCCATGGCTTTATAAATAAAGGCAAAGAATACAATAGCAAGATGCCTGATGCTAATTTATAAATTACTAACTGGTCCTCAGCTGATCAATTATTCATGTCAGAAAACAGGAAGAGATTTGCCTAAATATCAAAGATGAAAGACTCAATTGTTTGGAAAGATTAAAGAAGTTGAGATAGTACTCTGTTCAGCAGAGAATGTTAAATGGTGATTTATGAATGCTGTAAAATCTTGAAGAGTTTTGAGGGAATAAATCAGGAGAAACTGTATCTATTGGCAGGAGGGTTAATAACAAAAGGACACAAATTAAGATAACTGGCAAAAGAATTACAGGCAACACTAGAAAGAAAGCACTCACACCATAGATCACGATGGTCTGAGGAAGGGTTGCTGAATAGTGCTCAGGGTTCAGGAAGACTTTGCTGAATCTCCTTTCAACACTAGTCAATGCTGTTCCAACCATCAATAGCAATCGACTTCTTACTGTTTGCTGCAATTAGGATTAGAAGATCTAGGCAATTGTTTAAAACTTAAACAACAAACTTTCATCTTTTCCTTCCCAAAGTACACCAACGAGTGCAGAGACAAAAAATTAAGTTAAAGATAGTGAACACCCTCTCGGTCTTACATCATTAGTGCTGCATAAAATCACTAAACATACATGAAAAGGAAACAAAAACATGAATGCAAAGATGACAGTTCCAAGCTACAGCACTCCGTTAAACTAACTGTGAGGAACACCTGCCATTGAATCATAGGTTAAGGTGGTCAGATACCACCCCTACTCTGCTGAAAATGAATCCAGGCAGTCTAAGTTGATAGAATCACTAAAGGAACAGAACTTATACTCATACGCTAAGCTGCCCTACCTACTGAGTCTACTAACAGGGGCAAACTTTGGTTAATTAACTACAGGAGCCATTGGAACTGCTGGCCACAACTCTTCAATTTCAATCATTCACTCCAGATAACCAATGCTAACTTGTTGTTCAGGGTCTGCAACTTTATAACTATCTTTTATCTTTACTTGCATTTAATCATTGTAAGTTCTTTAAATAATAACTTAAGCAGTTCACTGCAGTGTTTTGCAATGAATTAAGCTCTTGTTTAAGAATAAAATTTTGTTGCTGGTTATTTTTAAATTGACTCACTCAAATTATAAGGGGCTACACACATACACAATTTCTTAGTTCAGGCCACTGAGCAAATGTTTTTACACGGTTGTAACATTTGAAAAATAACCCTGTTTTACAGGGAAGCATAGTCAAACATTATTGGATAAATGACAATTCTTATTTGAAGAATTATTCTTCACTGAAAATGTGCGAGGTGGAAGTCTAAGATGTGTGAAAAATAACTTACTGCTTGAGTTGCTCTGTAAAGATGTACTGAGTGAAATCCTTTACTGCTGGGGCAAAGTAAAACATCTGTTGTAGCTTGATTTCCTTCACAGTGACGTCTTCAGCAGAATTGAAACGAAGAATGTAAAATGGCTGAGAAACTGGACCAAATACCTCAAATACCTAAGATTCAAGGAGGGAATCAAAATAAACTATCCACACTTATCATAAGAAAATGCACAGGACAAAAATAATGAAATCAAGTTTCATGGAGACTGTTTTATTTAAAACATTTAAAAAAGGGGATTTTTCAAAGAAATAGAAATATTAGGCAAAATAATTGCAAGTTGAGAAATTTTCACCAAGTGAATTAACACTCTCTATCATGTCAATTCACTAAAACAATCCTAACTTCCTTTTCAGAAATAAATTTATTCATATCAAATATATTTATGAGCAGCTGAATGGTCAAATTCTAAGCTCCAAAAATTAATACAGCGTTTAGTGTGAATGATTTCTTGCTCTTATGTTGATGGATCAAACTCCCAAAAAATTTATTGAGGTATTTATTCTTAATTACAAAACATATTTCTTAAAAGAGCACTGCTACAGAAACAAAACAAAACTTTGGATGTAAATTCAGAGACTATCTGGCAAAGTGCTGTGTAAAGCCCATGGAATGTCACACCTGTCTCAGCACTCGGTTCCGAGTATCATCGTACCATCAAACAATCATTGGTCCCAATATCCCCAATCATACTTCCTTACAGGTCCCTCTGTCAGCAAATTTAGATAACCCAAGAAGAGTTTCATAAGTGAGATAATCTAAGTTCAGGGCTAGAATATTCCTGTTAGTGTGAAGGGCAAGGCTGGCAGGAATAGGGAATACTGGATGACTGAAGATATTGAGGCACTGGCAAAGAAAAAGGGGGTGGCATATGTAAGGTATAGACAGCTAGGATCAAGTAACTCCCTTGAGGAGTACAGGGCATGTAGGAGTACACCTAAGTGGGAATTCAGGTGGCTAAAAAACGTACATGAGATACCTTTGGATTTGTCTTTACCTTATGAGCCAAAAAAATCCAAAAAAGAGTAACTAGGGAAAAAGGGCCCTTTAAAGATCAATGAGGTCATCTATGTGTGGAACTACAGATGGGAGAGGTCCTAAACAAATATTTTGCATCAGTATTTATAGTGGAGACAGACAGAGAAGCTAAGAACTTCAGAGAAATAAATAGTAATGCCTTGAAAAGAGTCCACATTACAGAAGATGATGTGCTGGAGGTCTTAAAACATATAAAAGAAACATTGTTGACTTACTCGCTGAGCTGGCTGGTTTTCGTTCGGACATTTCATCACCATGCTAGGTAACATCATCAATGAGGTCTCTGATGAAGCGACGTTGTTCTATTCCTCCCGGAATTTATACAGTCCGGTCTGTTATGGTGAGTAGTGTCATTTCCAGTTTTGTTCTGTTCGGGTTTGTACATGGGGTCCAATTCTATATGTTTGTTGATTGCATTAGGGGTTGAGGACTACAGAATTGGACCCCATATACAAACCCAAACAGAACAGGAAATGACACTACTCACCATAACGGACCAGACAGTATAAATTCCAAGTGGAGTAGAACAACATCACTTCATCGGAGGCCTCACTGATAATGTTACCTAGCATGGTGTCGAAATCTCCGAACGAAAACAAGCCAGCTCGGACAGCAAGTCAACAACCTCACCTACAACCCGAGCTACAAATCTTTGCTAAAAACTTAAAGGCATAAAAGTAGATAAATCCCCAAGACCTGATCAAGTGTATCCCAGGACACTATGGGAAGCTAGGAAGAAGTTGTGGAGGCCCTAGCAGGGATATTCATATCATCGACAGCCTTGGGTAAGGTGCCAGAGGACTGCAGAGTGGTTAATGTTGTGCTATTATTTAAGAAAAGCTGCAAGGAAAAGTCAGGGAAGTGCAGACCAGTGAGCCTAACTTCAGTGGTGGGTAAACTGTAAGGCAAATACTGATTAGGGATAATCAGCATGGTTTTGTGCATGGGAAATCGTGCCTAACAAATCTGATTGGACTTTTTTTTGAAGGGGTGACCAAGAACATAGGTGAAGGCAGAGTGTTGGCTACGTGGACTTTATAAGGCCTTCCACAAGGTTCTGCATGATAGACTGGTTTGTAAGGTTAGATCACATGGGATCCAAGGAAAGCTAGCAAACTGGACACAAAATTGGCTTGAAGGTAGGAGACAGGGTGGTGGTAGAGGAATGCTTTTTGGACTGGAGGGCTGTGACCAGTGTGTGCCACAAACATCAGTGCTGGGCCCACTATTGTTTGTCATTTATACAAATGATTTGGGTGTGAATATAGGAGGCCTGGTTAGTAAGTTTGCTGATGACACCAAAATTGGTGGTATATTGGGAAGTGAAGGTGGTTACCTAAGAGTATGATGGAAACTTGATCAGATGGGCCAGTGAACCGGGCAATGGCAGATGGAGTTTACTTCAGATAAATGTGAGATGTTGCATTTTAGTAAGACAAGCCACAGCAGGACTTAATACAGTTAATGGGATGGCCCAAGAGTGTGCTGTCAAACAGAGAGACCTAGTGGTGCATGCACATAGTACCTTGAAAATGGCTTCACAGGTAGGTGAAGAAGGCATTTGGCATGCTTGGCCTTCATTGGTCAGAGCACTGAGTAAAGGAGTTGGGACGTCATGTTATAGCTGGACAAAGACACTGGTAAAGTCACATTTGGAATACTGCATACTATTCTGGTCACGCTTATATATGAAGAATACTATTAAACTGGAAAGGGTGTAAAAAGGATTCACAAGAATGTCACTGAGACCGGAAGTTTTGAATTAAAAGGAAAGGCTGGATAGGCTGGGACTTTTTTCCCTGGAGTATTGGAGGGCTGAGGCCTTATTGAGGTTTATAAAGTCATGACGGGTATAGATAAGGTGAATAGCCAAGGTCTTTTCCCCAGGATAGGGAATTCCAGAACTAGAGGGCAGAGGTTGAAGGTGAAAGGGGAAAGATTTAAAAGGGACCCGAAGGGCAACTTTTTCCACAGAGGATAGTGTGTATATGGAACAAGCTACCAGAGGAAGTGGAGGAGGCTGGTGCAATCACAACATTTGAAAGACATTTGGACAGGTACATAGACAGGAAAGGTTTAAAAGGGATATGGGCCAAACTCAGGCAAATGGGACTCGTTCAGTTTAGGAAACCTGGTTGACATGGACAAGTTGGGCCGAAGGGTCTGTCTCCATGATGTATGACACTATGACTCTATACAATTTAAGACTCATCAGTTATTAAGAATTCTTATGTAAATACCTTCCCAACTGAAGTGTTGTCCTTTCTGAATAGGATAGTTTCCTCATTCACAGGTGGCATGTCCTTCAGCGATTTTACAATAACTAGAAACAAGGAGAAACAAAGTCAGAAATGGCATTAAAATATTCACATATAGAAGACAAAAAACTGAAAACAGCCCTGCAAGGAATCTTGGTAAATTTGCAGCTGAACCAATCTTTGATCATGTAAATCGCCCAAATCTAGAGTCAGGCAAGGAATGATCATTTATGTAACAATTTGCTAGCATGAAGTGAACCACTGATCATCAAGCAATTGTCTCCATGGTTATCACTAACCTCATCTAGACCAGGAATCTCCCCCCCAGAGCTTCTTACCTCATAGGCCCCAAATTCATATCTAATCTACCTTGCTCCCAAAGTCCACAAACAAGACTACACAAGCAGACCCATTGTTTCAGCATGTTCCTGCCCCACAGAACTTATTTCTTCCTATCTTGAATCCCCCTTCTCTCTCCTTGTTCAGTTCTTTCCCATGTACATGCATGATTCATCTGACACTTACGTTAGTTTCAAAATTTCCACTTTGCCGGCACCATCTGTCTCTTCTTTACTATGGACATGCAATCTCTCCATAAGTCCATCTCCATCAAGATGATCAGAGGGTTCTCCACATCTCAAGAGAAGACCTGAACCATGCCCATCTGCCAGCAAAATCCTCCACCTGCTCCAGCTCAAAGTGAAGACGAGAGGAGCTGAAGGCAAAGTTGTTCACTTTCTTCAGGTCAAAGGTGTGACCATGGATAGCCACGTGGGCCCCAGTTATATATGTCTCTTTGTGGGTTATGTGGAACATTCCTTGTTCCAGTTCTACTTAGGTGCTTCTCCACACCTCTTTCTCTGGTAAGTCTATGACATATTGGGGTGCTCTGTCTATCTTCCAGAATTAGAAGAATTTATCAACTTTGCTTCTAATTTTCATCCTGCTCTCACCTGCACATGGTGCATCTCAGACTCCTCCCTTCGACATCTCTTTTCCCATATCTGGGCATAAGCTACACACCAAAGTCCACTGCAAATCCATTGACTCCAAATCACCTTATTTGTATCTTCACACCCCGCTGCCTGGACGGACTTCATTTCGTTCTCCCAGCTTCTCCATCCCATCTGTTCTGATGATACCATCTATTGTAGGTATGGCCTCAGAAATGTCTACCCCTTTCCTCAACCGAGGATTCCCCTCCACTGTGGATGGCAGGGCTCTCAGCCATGTCCTACCCATTTCTGCCCTCACCGCTTTCTTACAATAACAAGGGTCCCCATGGTTGTCAATTTCCACCCTGCCAGCCTTTGTATCCAAAGGACCATAAACCATTATTTCCATCACCTTAAGTGGAATGCCACGACCAGACACACAGTCCCCTCCCCTGTCAGCACTCCACAAGGATCATTCCCTCCAGTCCACTCCTCCTCCCCTCCCAGCATCTCCCCACATTCCACGGCATGTTCCCAGGCAGTCACAGAAGGTTCAACACTTGCCCATTTACCTCTCCTCCCCTCATTATCCAATGATCCATTCACCTTCCAGGTGAAGCAGCGATTTACCTGCATTTCACTCAATCTAGTCTGCATTCATTGCTCACAATCTGGTTTCCGAGACATTGAAAAGATGAAACGGAGACTGGGTGATCACTTTGCTGAACAGCTACCCTTGGTCCATAAAGGTAACTCCCAATTGCCTGCTACTTCAAAACATACCACAATTTTCCTATGTCAACACTTCTGTCTAGGCCTGCTGCAGAGCTCCAGCATGGCTCAATGCAAGCTGAAGGAACACCATCTTATAGTCCACCTAGGGACCTTACAGACTTCAGGATTCAACATTGAGTTTAAATATTTCAAAATGTGATCAACCTCCTCCATATCAGTTTCCATCTTCCCACGCCCCTAGACATGCATTGCATGGGCCGCTCCCTGCACAGCCAACTCATTTTCACCAATTCACACTTCTTTTAGCACTTCACCCAGCATTCACCTCACTCTTGGGCTTTAGTCAGCTATTGCTTTGTTTGTCGATCTCCTTTTCTCTCTCTGAGCACTGTCTCCATATATTCTATTTGCTACATCCTACAACTCCCAAAAACCCAAACATCAGCATAAATGTCACCCTTTCCCACCTACTGTCAGTCTGACGATTGGTCACTGAACTCTGAATATTAACTGTAATTTTCTCTCAACAGATGCTGCCAGATCCATTGTGTTTCTCCAGCAGTGTTTTAACTCACTGGCATCAATGCTGCAAACTTTGGTCAGTATCATCAGTTAGATAATATTGAATTCCAAGGAACTTCCTTATACATTGTTTATAACACACAAAGATACCTAGCAAGTGTAAATTAGCAAGATAGTATTCATAGTGCTAAGTTCTGGTGCAAACAAAAGCAGCAAAAATATTAGCCTAAGATGTTTGGTGAGGGTTTTTAACATATTTAAGGGGGAAGACAGTGGCACAGTGGTTATGTCATTGGACTAGTAATCTAGAGGACCAAACTAGTGATCTGTGGACATGTTCAAATTCTTGCAAGAATTATGAAATGGACTTCAGCAGATTCATAAACACCACCTCAAGGCAATTGAAATAGGCAATAAATGTCAAAACTTGTTAGTGACAGCCATCAAAAATCCAAAAATGAAAGAAGAAGAACCTCAATTTTACATACTCATGCAAACAGTCATTAGTGACTATTTTAAGTAAATTACCTTTGTTATCAAGCTACAACTGGAGCAATTTGCAATGTTGAACAATTTAAAGGTTAATTTTTCAGTCTTATATTTACTAAGAAACATCATAAAATCCTGGTCCCTTTGCAACTCCTTAGTTCCAGAATGATTGCTTTAATTTTGATCAGAATCATTTCACTTACCTTTTACTAGCCTGTCACTAATCAAAACAGCAGTAAAATGCAGAATCACTACTAATTATGAAGGAAGTGCATTAAAAAATCCCCAAAAAAGTTCGTACTATTAAAATAAGTGTCTTCAGTCACTATGTTAATTAACTAGTAATAATATGAAACGTATACAACTGAGTGTATTATGCCCCATGGCTTCCTGTATTCAGAGAAATGCGGCACTAAATTCCAGATAATCAATAAACCATTCACTTAACCCTTTTTGTAAGACGTACAGAAGTATTCACTGTAACCTTTATACCACAGTTCTTCATATTAGAGTCTGCTAAATGTAGCTGTAACAATGAAGACTAGCTAGGAGCTTCAGCAAATGAAATGATTATTGTACTGTAGCCTGAATTAATTTATCCTTCATACAAAAGTTGATTGTTGTGTGATCTGAGATACAACTAGGCTTTTAATCAGAATACATAGCTAATTGTTACATTTGTAGTCATTCACAAAATCAAGTAAATTGCTCCTGCATATCCACACCTGAAATATAACTAAAAACTCCACGCCTTTTTAACTACATTCACACAACACTACTTTTGCATTCAAAATTCCATCAGTCAATAACATTTTCTTTTTACTGCATTCTCAATGGCATATAAAGGGTTAATCCTAATGTAATCAACATTGTAGTGGAGATATATCCCATTAAATACCTGGGGCAAAATGAAACATTCAATTCGGGGACAAGATATATTATACAATAACTACAAAATCCAGTGACAGCCACATTAGGGAATCACCGGAAATGCACACGCTCTTGACGGCTACTCTATTTGGCTGTATTGCCATAAGGCTAGACATCTGGTAGTTCTTGACATTTAGAATTGTTGCTCTTGTTACTAATTGGTGCAACAAGTAAAAGCTCAACTCTCTAAATGTATCTTGCCCAAAGCAAAGATAAAATCTAAGCATAGGATTAGACAAAGAAATACACGAAGGAACAAGTCATCACACAAGATGCTGACCTTTATCATTTTGTCAAGAACAGCTTTCACAACAGGAATCCTCTCAAATCCTTTGAAAAAGCTAACCAAAATAGTGGAAGGTTCCCCAGAAGGTTTCCACTTGCTCTTGGAAATAGGCAAAAAGCAACATACATTTGCAACAAATCATCAGTAGAATAAACACACACATACAAATTCAATATCATGCATATGTAATTTACATACAAATTAATATACATTTAATAATTACAATGTTATTACAAGTATTCATAATGATTCAGCAATAGTTAATTAACATTAAGTATAAACAGCAGATACATTTTCAAAGATCAAGGGTTGAAAACTGTGGGCCTAATTTTAACAATTACAGCAAAAAAAACACAACAAAATGGTCTCGAAAAAAGAGGATAGTTAAACTTGAAACCACTAAATCCAAGAAATCCATTTAAAATTAGAAGAATAGAAAGATGTGACCAAATGCTTTATCAGAGAATAATAATTAGGAATTTGAATAGAATGGTAATGCCTTAATACTCAAATGTAACTTAACATTGTCTTAAAAAGAAGCGGAAGACAATCCTGGAAACTAGAGATTCACATTCTTATTTATAAATGCTACTATCAAAGGAACTTTGTGAGTGACGAATCAAATTAATCGTGTGGAGGGTTTAACCAACAACAAAGACGTGAAGTTAATTTAGTAAGGCATGTAAAAATAACAATAAGATAATTATATTAGTGGATTTCAACTATACCCTACAAGTGAAGGGTGAAGAGTTTAAAAGTAGCAGATTTCTTAAAATGTATTCGGGGCAGTTTTTTACATCAACTCACAGATTATCCTATAAAGGATCCTACAACCATAACTTCCTCAAGGGCAACTATGGAACAGTAACAAAGCAGGCCCAGCCAGCGATGCTCACATCCCACAAATAAATTTAAAAAAAAAACAATCCACACAGTGCGATAGCAAATATTTAAATTAATTTTTGATGAACAATTAAGTGAGAATTTACACTAATGTCATTCTCCAGACAGACTGCGTTAGTAAAGAAACCGGCTAATCTAAGTTTTCTGATAATATATGGTCTAATCAGTTTTTTTAAAAATAATCTTGAGTTGTTCTTGCCTTTTGTTGCAATTAAACCATGTAGTGGGGACAGGACAAAAATCACATGTGAATCGTAAACTGGGT